AAAACACTGGCCATATCAATTGCAGCAGGCAATATGAGGTTTTCGGCGATTGTATGGAGTTTGGACATCTTAGCTACTCTTAATGCTACAAGATAAGATGCTTCAAGTACACTTTTATTCAGTTTCATGGTTGACTGCACACTAAAATAAAAGCACCAGATGCACACTTCACATTTGAAACTTAACTGAAGTGGTGCAATCACCAGCAGCTCTTTTATACTAGTGACACACAACTTGTTCAAATGCATCCATATGCATGTTCAAACATGCTCTCACAGCAAGTATTATAGAAGGAGATCAAATTACAAAGAGCACTACACATCAAGTTGGAACTTGTAAATTGCTCATGTATGTAGTGCATGTCATACATGCATGTTCATACCCGTCACTATAAACACAGCGACATAAAAAAAATAGGAATAGTTGTATTACATTTTTTATACTGTCGGTATTTTCTTAATGTATAAAATTAGTGCAATGTGATTATATAATATTTTTTAAAATTTATGTTTATAATTACAGTCAAAACTCAATTAGTAATAGTAAGGCTTACTGTTATTATTCCTTTGGGTGGGTGGGGGTTGCAAATTATTAATTTTATTTATATTTACTATTTGGGGGATCATGGAGCTAAGAAGGTTGAGAATCGTAGTATAGTGTATATATTAAGTAAGGTTAAATGATAAATTGAATTGATTATTAAAATGATAATTGAAATTATCTCAACAATGCAGATAATTTTCAAAATGAGATATTTTTTTAGATATAATTTGATGAAAATTAATAAATAGCCAAATCCAGAATTTATTTTTATGCTTACTAGTTTGTCCTTTTTAAGACTCTAAATTATAATAATTTTTTGTGTTTTTAAGATGATTAACATCTATTATCTAATTACAATCATTTTTATGTCTTTACATTGCATTTTTATTTTTTAGTGTTTTATCAAATTTCAGCATTATGGCTTCTTTATTGTTTTCTGAGATGTTGATTTTAGTCCAAGTTATAAACATAAACTTTAGTTTTTTAGTACTCCTCTAAGCTCTAAATCATTGTTTGTAATAAAGGAAAAAACAATAATAAATAAGACTGAATTTTCTGTTAGTATTTTAGTTCAATTATAGAATAACAATCATTATCACTATTTTTGTTTAAAGTAAAATTACAATTGGAGTTTTGTAAAATAAAACTAGTGATTAGATTCTGTCAAAACTTGAAATTAGATAATAAACAGAGATGGGCAAATATTTGAATAGTAGAAAGTTTCAAGATTCAAGAGAATGAATATTTCATTGATAAAAATTAAATTTGAATACTACAAGTATTTTCCATTATTGCACCATGCATACAGTCTTAGTTGAAAATCCAGAATTACCCAAAGGAGGAGCTGACAAAAAATTTAAATAATTAACAAGGACTTNAATAATAGGAATAGTTGTATTACATTTTTTATACTGTCGGTATTTTCTTAATGTATAAAATTAGTGCAATGTGATTATATAATATTTTTTTAAATTTATATTTATAATTACAGTCAAAACTCAATTAGTAATAGTAAGGCTTACTGTTATTATTCCTTTGGGTGGGTGGGGGTTGCAAATTATTAATTTTATTTATATTTACTATTTGGGGGATCATGGAGCTAAGAAGGTTGAGAATCGTAGTATAGTGTATATATTAAGTAAGGTTAAATGATAAATTGAATTGATTATTAAAATGATAATTGAAATTATCTCAACAATGCAGATAATTTTCAAAACGAGATATTTTTTTAGATATAATTTGATGAAAATTAATAAATAGCCAAATCCAGAATTTATTTTTATGCTTACTAGTTTGTCCTTTTTAAGACTCTAAATTATAATAATTTTTTGTGTTTTTAAGATGATTACCATCTATTATCTAATTACAATCATTTTTATGTCTTTACATTGCACTTTTATTTTTTAGTGTTTTATCAAATTTCAGCATTATGGCTTCTTTATTGTTTTCTGAGATGTTGATTTTAGTCCAAGTTATAAATATAAACTTTAGTTTTTTAGTACTCCTCTAAGCTCTAAATCATTGTTTGTAATAAAGGAAAAAACAATAATAAATAAGACTGAATTTTCTGTTAGTATTTTAGTTCAATTATAGAATAACAATCTTTATCGCTATTTTTGTTTAAAGTAAAATTACAATTGGAGTTTTGTAAAATAAAACTAGTGATTAGATTCTGTCAAAACTTGGAGATTAGATAATAAACAGAGATGGGCAAATATTTGAATAGTAGAAAGTTTCAAAATGCAAGAGCATGAATTTCAAGAGCATTGATAAAAATTAAATTTGAATACTACAAGTATTTTCCAATATTGCACCATGCATACAGTCTTAGTTGAAAATCCAGAATTACCCAAAGGAGGAGCTGACAAAAAATTTAAAATATTTAAATAATTAACAAGGACTTTTTTAATAACATATGCATTGTATTGTATATGGTCTGATAAACCATATTTGTAAAACTGTTTTTCTTTTTACTTTTTGTTTTACTTTAATAATGTATTAATATATTGAAATAAATAAAACAAACTAAGTAATAAATATTAAATCAATTATTAACTAGGTTAAGTTTTAGTTACATCAGTTATAAATTATATTAATTAATAATAAAGTTATACAAGTTCACTAAGTATTTGGGGTATTTGAGATATTTGAATATTCAAGATCTGGTTAATATTTAAATTCAAGAAAAATTATATTTGCCCATCTCTAATAATAAGTATTAATGAGAAAAGAATAAGTCGTTTCTACAGCTTAAAAACAAAGAATTTCAACAAAAACATTGATAAACATGGAATATCTTATGATGCTACTTTGACAAATACCTATAACAAAAACTGTTGTTTTGGTGTAGATATAAAATAACTTTGATATTTATAACTTTAGATATTTTTGAATAGCAAATGTAACTTTAAAAAATATTCTATAAAAGTTATTTAGATATGACTCATGGAACCATATATGGTTTAAAATATTTTCTCTATCCTTGAATTTAAAATTTGTTTTTAATGCTTTAATAATTTTTGTTTGTTATATTTAGAAAAAAAAATTTGTGTAATAAATAAAGCAGTCATTTAAGACAAGAAAAATATTTAATACAGTGGTACCTCAGGATATGAATGCCCCAGCATACAAAATTTTCAGAATACGACATGAAATTCGAACATATTTTTGCTTTACAATACGAACAAAAACTCACCATACAATGTTACATTAGTTCTCAGCGCCATTTTTTATTCACTTCTGTTCATTGGTCTCAGTCCGCGTGTTTGCTTCGTCGTGGAAGGATCTCACTCAATAAAGGAAATCTCGAGGTATTATCAGAAAGTGACTGATCTTATTGAAAAGAAACATCCTGAAAATGTTCACAGTGGCCGTATTGCAAAGCCAAACCTCTTTGGATAGATATTTTACCGAGCAACCTCTATCCAGTTAAAGCACTGGTGGAAGTGAAGGAAAGAAAGCAAACAGCAGTGAATAAAAAATTTAAAAAAAAAATATATATATATATATAAAAACACTAAATTTTTTATCTTTTCTAAATTATTTTTAAGTTATTGTTACATTATATTATGTAAGTTAAGTTTTAGTATCATTTCCCTTCTCCCTCTCTTC